GGACCCTCCCCCTACTGCACTCTGGTGTGGACGCTGGTCCTGATTTCCAACTGCTGCTCTCTGAGTCCCCTCTGGCCCCTTCTTCCTGGGGTGTCCCCTCGGCACCCCCTTGCTCTGACCAAGGGAGCCCTTTCTGTGAATCTTCCGATTCGCTGGAAAGACTCAGAGACCTCGGACCGCTGTCATCGCTAACATTTCCTTCGGACTCCTCCCCCTCGCTCTCTATTTCCTCCCTTTCCTGTGCCTCTGCTCCTGAACCCCTGACAATGTCACTCTGCGATTTTTGGGTGAATGTGCATTCTAACCCCCAAAACACCAATTTGAAATAAGCCCATTCAGAGCTTTATCATCTTCTTTTTATGTAGTTGGAAGCCAAAACACCTTTTTGCTTTGGTTGGGGGTGATTCTGGTGCACACCCAAAAAACCCCATGCGAATAGAAATAAGCATAATCAAAGCTTATTTGTCTTCTTTCTACACGTATGGAAGCGAAAAGACGGTGTTGTGTTATTTTGATCTCATTACACACACTTTGCGATTTCTGGGTCAATGTGCATTAACACCAAAGAACACGAAATAAGCAAAATCCAAGATTCTTCTTTCTATGTTGCTGCAACCCAAAACAACCTGTTTGGCTTTGTTTTGGCTTATTACACTTTGCTTTGCTATTTGTGGGGGACTGAACACCGAAAGAACAATGCAAGCTTATTCGTCCTCTTTCTATTGAGAAGGAACCAAAACACCTATGCTTGGATTGGTCTGATAATAAACATGTCACTCTGCGATTTTTGGGTGAATGTGCGTTCTAACCCCAAAAACACCAATTTGAAATAAGCCCAATCAGAGCTTTATCATCATCTTTTTATGTAGTTGGAAGCCGAAACACCTTTGTGCTTTGGTTGGGGGTGATTCTGGTGCACACCCATAAAACCCCATGCGAATTGAAATAAGCACAATCAAAGCTTATTTGTCTTCTTTCTAGGCATATGGAAGCGAAAAGACAATGTTGTGTTATTTTGGTCTCATTAAACACACTTTGCGATTTCTGGGTCAATGTGCATTAACACCAAAGGACACGACGAAATATGCGAAATCCAAGATTCTTCTTTCTATGTTGCTGCAACCCAAAACAACCTGTTTGGCTTTGTTTAGGCTTATTACAATTCACTTTGCTATTTGTGGGGGAGTGAACACCGAAAGAACAATGCAAGCTTATTCGTCCTCTTTCTATTGAGATGGAACCAAAACACCTATGCTTGGTTTGGGCTGATAATAAACATGTCACTCTGCGATTTTTGGGTGAATGTGCATTCTAACCCCAAAAACACCAATTTGAAATAAGCCCAATCAGAGCTTTATCATCTTCTTTTTATGTAGATGGAACCCAAAAGACCTTTTTGCTTTGGTTGGGGTGATTCTGGTGCACACCCATAAAACCCCATGCGAATTGAAATAAGCACAATCAAAGCTTATTTGTCTTCTTTCTACGCATATGGAAGCGAAAAGACAATGTTGTGTTATTTTGGTCTCATTACACACACTTTGCGATTTCTGGGTCAATGTGCATTAACACCAAAGAACAGGACGAATTAAGCGAAATCAAAGATTCTTCTTTCTATGTTGCTGCAACCCAAAACAACCTGTTTGGCTTTGTTTAGGCTTATTACAATTCGTTTTGCTATTTGTGAGTGAATGAACACCGAAAGAACAATGCAAGCTTATTCGTCCTCTTTCTATTGAGATGGAACCAAAACACCTATGCTTGGTTTGGTCTGATAATAAACATGTCACTCTGCGATTTTTGGGTGAATGTGCGTTCTAACCCCAAAAACACCAATTTGAAATAAGCCCAATCAGAGCTTTATCATCATCTTTTTATGTAGTTGGAAGCCGAAACACCTTTGTGCTTTGGTTGGGAGAGATTCTGGTGCACAACCATAAAACCCCATGCGAATTAAAATAAGCACAATCAAAGCTTATTTGTCTTCTTTCTACGCATATGGAAGCGAAAAGACAGTGTTGTGTTATTTTGGTCTCATTACACACACTTTGCGATTTCTGGGTCAATGTGCATTAACACCAAAGAACACGAAATAAGCAAAATCCAAGATTCTTCTTTCTATGTTGCTGCAACCCAAAACAACCTGTTTGGCTTTGTTTAGGCTTATTACACTTTGCTTGGCTATTTGTGGGGGACTGAACACCGAAAGAACAATGCAAGCTTATTCGTCCACTTTCTATTGAGATGGAACCAAAACACCTATACTTGGTTTGGTCTGATAATAAACATGTCACTCTGCGATTTTTGGGTGAATGTGCATTCTAACCCCAAAACACCAATTTGAAATAAGCCCAATCAGAGCTTTATCATCTTCTTTTATGTAGATGGAACCCATAAGACCTTTTGCTTTGGTTGGGGGTGATTCTGGTGCACTCCCATAAAACCCCATGCGAATTGAAATAAGCACAATCAAAGCTTATTTGTCTTCTTTCTACGCATATGGAAGCGAAAAGACAGTGTTGTGTTATTTTGGTCTCATTACACACACTTTGAGATTTCTGGGTCAATGTGCATTAACACCAAAGAACACAACTTGAAATAAGCGAAATCAAAGATTCTTCGTTCTATGTAGCTGGAACCCAAAAGAACCTGTTTGGCTTTGTTTAGGCTTATTACAATTCGCTTTGCTATTTGTGAGTGAATGAACACCGAAAGAACAATCCAAGCTTATTCGTCCTCTTTCTATTGAGATGGAACCAAAACACCTATGCTTGGTTTGGGCTGATAATAAACATGTCACTCTGCGATTTTTGGGTGAATGTGCATTCTAACCCCAAAAACACCAATTTGAAATAAGCCCAATCAGAGCTTTATCATCTTCTTTTTATGTAAATGGGACCCAAAAGACCTTTTTGCTTTGGTTGGGGGTGATTCTGGTGCACACCCATAAAACCCCATGCGAATTGAAATAAGCACAATCAAAGCTTATTTGTCTTCTTTCTACCCATATGGAAGCGAAAAGACAATGTTGTTGTCAGGGGTTCAGGAGCAGAGGCACAGGAAAGGGAGGAAATAGAGAGCGAGGGGGAGGAGTCCGAAGGAAATGTTAGCGATGACAGCGGTCCGAGGTCTCTGAGTCTTTCCAGCGAATCGGAAGATTCACAGAAAGGGGCCCCTTGGTCAGAGCAAGGGGGTGCCGAGGGGACACCCCAGGAAGAAGGGGCCAGAGGGGACTCAGAGAGCAGCAGTTGGAAATCAGGACCAGCGTCCACACCAGAGTGCAGTAGGGGGGAGGAGTCCCAGGCATCGGGATCAGGCGGCGCACTGCCAGTGGGAGGACATGAGTCAGGATTGGCCACGCCTCCATCGGGGAGCGAGGAAACGGTCGAGAGGAAGGTTGAAGGCTGGGCGCGCGCGCCAAGTTCAAATGTACAGGAGGGCGGCGCAGTTGGCAGCCCGGATAGGGAGCCAGGTCCCAAAGCCCGCCGAAAAGAGGGGGAGGAGTCAGGGGGGTCAGCGTCAGAAGAATCCAGGAAGGAAGGGACCCCGGGGGGTAGCAGGACCCAGAGGAGAAAGGAGAGACGTAAGAGGTGGAGTAAGGCTAGAATCTTAAACTGGTGTACAGGGGGCGGAGACTCAGATGGAGCTTCGCCGATCTAACCCCTAGACGTAGAGCTGGGGCGCTCCGGCTTGAAAATGGAAACTGTACTTCAATAAAGACTTTTGTACATTACTGCCGGCTAGCGTTGGTCCTCTGTGAGCTGGGACCTGGAGCCAGCTCTGACAGTAAGCTCCATCTCTAAAAGTTTTGCACCAAAACCTCGTAACGTGAGTGGACGCAGCGAGGGAAGAAGATTGGTGCTTCGCGAGCTCACAAAAGTCAGGCAAGATGACTACAGAACAGCAACTAGCAGCCCTGCAAAATGCAGTGACACAACTCAACGCGGAGGTACTCGCATCCAGGAAAAGGGAAGAGGAAGCGGCTGCCGCCTGCAGGGATCTCCAAGCCAGGTTGGAAGTGCTTGCTAAGCAGGGGCAACCGGGACCCAAATCAGAGGGGATTGGGCTGGGGAAAAGAGGAGGCAGCCTGGTATCTCATTTCGATGGGAATTTGCAGCAGTACCCTAACTTCCGAGCAGACGTGCTGTTTGCGCTGGAACTGCTGGATAAAGACTTTAGAGATGAGCAAGAGAAGGTGGGGTTTATCTTGTCCCATTTGCATGGGGAAGCTAAAGCGTGGCTGCGCAATCTGTGGAGAGATAAGGATCCGGCGCTCCAAAATGCGGATGCATTCATTAAAGCGATGGATTCGTGTTTTTATCAAATATAGACATTGATATCGCCAGAAAAGACATACATGGGCTCAAACAAGGCAGAGCCAGTGTAAGGCAGTACCATTCCCGCTTTTTGCATTAGTCCATGCGCTGGGATGGGAGAAGGATTCTGCCCCAGCCAGAGACCTTTTTGGGAAGGCTTGAATGCAAATGTGAAAGATGAGATTGCAAGGGGGGAGAGACCAAAGAGCACTCAGGAGGTTGTCCGGCGGGCGCTGCAAATTGGGGTGCGTCTGGAAGAACGTCCATGGAACAGAGAAGAAGGACGTTGGGGACGTACGCCAGTGAGAGCACCTTCCCTCTTTCCCAAGGATGCAGCGCGTGTGCAATCCCCACCTCCGCAAGGAGGGGGAGAGCAACCGATGGAGATTGGAGGCGCCAGGGCTCAGTCAGCAACCAGAGCCCTAACACCGGGAGCAGTCAAAGCGAAGCCTCCTAGAGGGAACAGGAAGTGCTACATCTGCGACAGTGCTCAGCACATGGCGAAAGAGTGTCCCCAGAGGCTCCACAAGCACACTGCAGCCTCAGCAACAGTAACAGACGCAACTCAGCAGAGAGAACCACAGCAGGGAAACGACAGAGTCTGGTTGGAGGAAGAGGCACTGGGGCCCAGCCAGACAAGTCAATGAAGCCGTCCCCAGAGATTTTGCAGCCCACAGACCCCTCCCGCCCAAACCAGTGGTGCAGCTCACAGCATCGCTCCAACTACCCAATGGACTCACTATGGAAGTGCCGATTACCATTGACTCTGGTAGTAACGCAGACTTCATAGGACTGGATTTCATTCAAGAGCACAACATAGCACTCCTGCCAGCCACGCTGCCTCTGAAAGTTGTCACGGTGGATGGCAGGGAATTGCTGGGGGCAGGTGGTGCAGCAAACGCCTCCGATGGTGATGCAAATTGGGAATCACCGAGAAGTCATCAGCTTCAATGTCACCCAACTGTCGGACACGCCTATAGTATTAGGCATGAGTTGGCTGCACAGGCACAGCCCAGCATTGGCGTGGTACCAGCGACAACTGACCTTCGGCTCCTCATACTGTGCGGAACATTGCATTCTGCCTAGCCCGGAAGGGGAAGAGGATGACCCGCAGCTACAATTAGGCACGCTGCAAGCAGTGCCACTCAAGTACGCAGCGTTTTTGGAGGTTTTCTGCGAGAAGGAAGCGGACAAGCTACCTCCCCACAGGTCCTATGACTGCAAGATTGACCTCCTGCCAGGGCGACGCTGCCAACCGGGAAACTGTATTCCATGTCTGAAGACGAGCTGCAGGAACTCAGGGAGTTCATAGACCTCAACTTGAAGCGCGGTTGTCAGGGGTTCAGGAGCAGAGGCACAGGAAAGGGAGGAAATAGAGAGCGAGGGGGAGGAGTCCGAAGGAAATGTTAGCGATGACAGCGGTCCGAGGTCTCTGAGTCTTTCCAGCGAATCGGAAGATTCACAGAAAGGGGCTCCCTTGGTCAGAGCAAGGGGTGTGCCGAGGGGGACACCCCAGGAAGAAGGGGCCAGAGGGGACTCAGAGAGCAGCAGTTGGAAATCAGGACCAGCGTCCACACCAGAGTGCAGTAGGGGGGGAGGAGTCCCAGGCATCGGGATCAGGCGGCGCACTGCCAGTGGGAGGACATGAGTCAGGATTGGCCACGCCTCCATCGGGGAGCGAGGAAACGGTCGAGAGGAAGGTTGAAGGCTGGGCGCGCGCGCCAAGTTCAAATGTACAGGAGGGCGGCGCAGTTGGCAGCCCGGATAGGGAGCCAGGTCCCAAAGCCCGCCGAAAAGAGGGGGAGGAGTCAGGAGGGTCAGCGTCAGAAGAATCCAGGAAGGAAGGGACCCCGGGGGGTAGCAGGACCCAGAGGAGAAAGGAGAGACGTAAGAGGTGGAGTAAGGCTAGAATCTTAAACTGGTGTACAGGGGCGGAGACTCAGATGGAGCTTCGCCGATCTAACCCCTAGACGTAGAGCTGGGGCGCTCCGGCTTGAAAATGGAAACTGTACTTCAATAAAGACTTTTGTACATTACTGCCGGCTAGCGTTGGTCCTCTGTGAGCTGGGACCTGGAGCCAGCTCTGACAGTAAGCTCCATCTCAAAAAGTTTTGCACCAAAAACCTCGTAACGTGAGTGGACGCAGCGAGGGAAGAAGATTGGTGCTTCGCGAGCTCACAAAAGTCAGGCAAGATGACTACAGAACAGCAACTAGCAGCCCTGCAAAATGCAGTGACACAACTCAACGCGGAGGTACTCGCATCCAGGAAAAGGGAAGAGGAAGCGGCTGCCGCCTGCAGGGATCTCCAAGCCAGGTTGGAAGTGCTTGCTAAGCAGGGGCAACCGGGACCCAAATCAGAGGGGATTGGGCTGGGGAAAAGAGGAGGCAGCCTGGTATCTCATTTCGATGGGAATTTGCAGCAGTACCCTAACTTCCGAGCAGACGTGCTGTTTGCGCTGGAACTGCTGGATAAAGACTTTAGAGATGAGCAAGAGAAGGTGGGGTTTATCTTGTCCCATTTGCATGGGGAAGCTAAAGCGTGGCTGCGCAATCTGTGGAGAGATAAGGATCCGGCGCTCCAAAATGCGGATGCATTCATTAAAGCGATGGATTCGTGTTTTTATCAAATATAGACATTGATATCGCCAGAAAAGACATACATGGGCTCAAACAAGGCAGAGCCAGTGTAAGGCAGTACCATTCCCGCTTTTTGCATTAGTCCATGCGCTGGGATGGGAGAAGGATTCTGCCCCAGCCAGAGACCTTTTTGGGAAGGCTTGAATGCAAATGTGAAAGATGAGATTGCAAGGGGGGAGAGACCAAAGAGCACTCAGGAGGTTGTCCGGCGGGCGCTGCAAATTGGGGTGCGTCTGGAAGAACGTCCATGGAACAGAGAAGAAGGACGTTGGGGACGTACGCCAGTGAGAGCACCTCCCTCTTTCCCAAGGATGCAGCGCGTGTGCAATCCCCACCTCCGCAAGGAGGGGAGAGCAACCGATGGAGATTGGAGGCGCCAGGGCTCAGTCAGCAACCAGAGCCCTAACACCGGGAGCAGTCAAAGCGAAGCCTCCTAGAGGGAACAGGAAGTGCTACATCTGCGACAGTGCTCAGCACATGGCGAAAGAGTGTCCCCAGAGGCTCCACAAGCACACTGCAGCCTCAGCAACAGTAACAGAAGCAACTCAGCAGAGAGAACCACAGCAGGGAAACGACAGAGTCTGGTTGGAGGAAGAGGCACTGGGGCCCAGCCAGACAAGTCAATGAAGCCGTCCCCAGAGATTTTGCAGCCCACAGACCCCCTCCCGCCCAAACCAGTGGTGCAGCTCACAGCATCGCTCCAACTACCCAATGGACTCACTATGGAAGTGCCGATTACCATTGACTCTGGTAGTAACGCAGACTTCATAGGACTGGATTTCATTCAAGAGCACAACATAGCACTCCTGCCAGCCACGCTGCCTCTGAAAGTTGTCACGGTGGATGGCAGGGAATTGCTGGGGGCAGGTGGTGCAGCAAACGCCTCCGATGGTGATGCAAATTGGGAATCACCGAGAAGTCATCAGCTTCAATGTCACCCAACTGTCGGACACGCCTATAGTATTAGGCATGAGTTGGCTGCACAGGCACAGCCCAGCATTGGCGTGGTACCAGCGACAACTGACCTTCGGCTCCTCATACTGTGCGGAACATTGCATTCTGCCTAGCCCGGAAGGGGAAGAGGATGACCCGCAGCTACAATTAGGCACGCTGCAAGCAGTGCCACTCAAGTACGCAGCGTTTTTAGAGGTTTTCTGCGAGAAGGAAGCGGACAAGCTACCTCCCCACAGGTCCTATGACTGCAAGATTGACCTCCTGCCAGGGGCGACGCTGCCAACCGGGAAACTGTATTCCATGTCTGAAGACGAGCTGCAGGAACTCAGGGAGTTCATAGACCTCAACTTGAAGCGCGGTTGTCAGGGGTTCAGGAGCAGAGGCACAGGAAAGGGAGGAAATAGAGAGCGAGGGGGAGGAGTCCGAAGGAAATGTTAGCGATGACAGCGGTCCGAGGTCTCTGAGTCTTTCCAGCGAATCGGAAGATTCACAGAAAGGGGCTCCCTTGGTCAGAGCAAGGGGGTGCCGAGGGGACACCCCAGGAAGAAGGGGCCAGAGGGGACTCAGAGAGCAGCAGTTGGAAATCAGGACCAGCGTCCACACCAGAGTGCAGTAGGGGAGGAGTCCCAGGCATCGGGATCAGGCGGCGCACTGCCAGTGGGAGGACATGAGTCAGGATTGGCCACGCCTCCATCGGGGAGCGAGGAAACGGTCGAGAGGAAGGTTGAAGGCTGGGCGCGCGCGCCAAGTTCAAATGTACAGGAGGGCGGCGCAGTTGGCAGCCCGGATAGGGAGCCAGGTCCCAAAGCCCGCCGAAAAGAGGGGGAGGAGTCAGGAGGGTCAGCGCCAGAAGAATCCAGGAAGGAAGGGACCCCGGGGGGTAGCAGGACCCAGAGGAGAAAGGAGAGACGTAAGAGGTGGAGTAAGGCTAGAATCTTAAACTGGTGTACAGGGGCGGAGACTCAGATGGAGCTTCGCCGATCTAACCCCTAGACGTAGAGCTGGGGCGCTCCGGCTTGAAAATGGAAACTGTACTTCAATAAAGACTTTTGTACATTACTGCCGGCTAGCGTTGGTCCTCTGTGAGCTGGGACCTGGAGCCAGCTCTGACAGCGGTTTCATCCAGGAGTCGAAGGCAGTGGGGGGCAGTCCTGTATTCTTTGTGAAGAAGAAGGACACGCCCCAAAAAAGGCTTGTGGTGGACTATAGAATTTTGAACTCGAAAACCAAGCCCACAGCCTTTCCCATGCCCAAGATAGATGACCTGCTCGCAACGGTGAGGAAAGGACGCGTTTTCACAAAGTTGGATCTGCGAGGGCGTACAACCTGATTCGCATACGGGAGGGCGACGAATGGAAGACTGCCATGTTCACGCCCCTGGGCACCTATGAATACAGAGTTATGCCCTTTGGATTACAAAATGGCTCCCACTGTTTTCAAGCCTTCATGCATCACGTATTGGCGGGTCTCCTCTACAAGAAATGCGTCTGCTTCCTGGACGACATCCTGATATTTTCAGAATCAGAGGAGACCCACGAGGGAGACGTCAAGGAAGTTCTGCAGAGACTGCAGGAGCACAGGCTGTACGCCAAGCTGGAGAAGTGCCAGTTCGACATGAAGGAGGTAGATTTCCTGGGCTACAAGTTGTCGGACAAGGGGCTCGCCATGGACAGCGCCAAGGTTCGCTCAGTGTTGGACTGGAAGAGCCCGCGCAATCGGAAGGAGGTCCAGCGGTTTGTCGGTTTCGCCAACTTTTACCGCAAGTTCATCAAGGGGTTCGCGATGCAGACGGCGGCCATTACCGACACGCTCAGCTCCAAGAAGAAGAAGTTCATCTGGACGGAGCAAGCGGAGCAGTCCTTTCAGAAACTCAAGCGTCTCTTCTCGTCCGAAGAGCAGCTACTGCATGTGAATCCCAGCAGACCGATGAGGGTTGAAACGGACGCCTCAGACAGAGCCGTGGGAGCAGTACTGTTGCAGCAAGACCCGCATGGGGACTGGAGACCGTGTGCCTTCTACTCCAGGAAGCTCAGCAAGTCAGAGCAGAACTACACCATCTGGGACAGGGAGTTGCTGGCCATTCATGCAGCATTCAAGGCGTGGCGGCACTTCCTCATTGGAGCCAAACACACAGTGCAGGTCCGCACGGACCATAAAAACCTGGAGTACTGGCGCACGGCAAGGTTCCTGAACCAGAGGCACATACGATGGGCGGAGTTCTTTGCGGATTTCGACTTCAGGATAGAGTACATCCCAGGCGACAACAACATCATGGCGGATGCACTGTCCAGAAAGCCGCAATACCTCGAGGAGGCGGCACCAGCAGCGGCCAAGCACATTTTCGCACCGAAAGCGTGGGCGTGCGCTTCAGCAACCGTGGACCTGGATGCTGTACGTCGAGCACTGCAGGAGGACCCCTTCGCGCAAGCAAAGATGGCAGAGGTGCAAAGGGGCACGGCGGAGGACGACGAGTTCCAGATACGCGACGGATTGCTCATCCGCAGAGGGGCCCTCTACGTACCGGGAGACGACCTCCGCGCGAAAGTACTGCAGCAGTTGCACGACGCACCCACCGCCGGGCACTTTGGCAAAGAGAAGACGGTAGAATTAGTAGCCAGAGATTTTTGGTGGCCCAAGATGCGGGGGCGCAGCCGCGGCTTACGCCTCGAGGTGCGACACCTGCCAAAGGGCCAAGTCAGTGCACAAACCGCCGGCGGGACTGCTCGAACCGCTGCAGACACCGCTCGAACCGTGGGAGAGGGTGGCCCTGGACTTTGTCACGGATCTACCCAGCTCGAGGGGCAAGACGGCAGTGCTAGTGGTGGTGGACATGTTCACCAAAATGGCCCACTTCATTCCGTGCGCGAAGGTGGCCACGGCGGAACAGACCGCCAAACTGTTCATAGACCACGTGTTCAGGGTTCACGGTCTGCCACGGTCTATCCTGTCCGACCGGGGCGACAGTTCATCTCGAACTTCTGGCAGAAGGTGATGGGTTTCCTGAACGTCAAGATCAACCTAGCGCCGGCGAGACACCCGCAGACGAACGGACAAGCGGAGCGAGTCAACGCCATCATGCAGCAGTACCTGCGATGCTACGCAAATCAGCAGCCGGCAACATGGGTGGACTACCTGCCGCTCGCTGAGTTCGCCTACAACAACACGAAGCACGTGTCCACGGGGTGACACCGTTCTTCGCCAACAACGGGAGGCATCCCAGAACCTTCCCGGGATTAGCGAGAGCGGGGGAGGGGAGCCACAGGCAGCGGAAGCCTTAGCATCAGAGTTGCAGGAGGTTCACGAACAGCTTCGGAGGCAGTTAGAACTAGCAAAGCACGCATACAAACTGCAGGCTGACAAGCACAGAAGGGTTGGGGAAGACATACAGGTGGGAGACTGGGTTTGGTTAGCAGCCCAGGCAGTGCCGGCCAGATCGTTAGCGAAGAAGAAGCTAGGGCATAAGCAGCTAGGACCCTACCAAGTCGAGGCACAGGTCAATCCAGTGGCCTTCCGGTTGACACTGCCGGAGGGATCCAGAATGCACCCAGTTTTCCATAGATCAGTGCTCACGCCCTACAAAGCACCTCATAGATTTCAGGAGCCAGGAACGGCACCAGACCCGTTCAGGGAAACGCCCACAAGGGGGGGGTCGCCAAGGCGGGAACCCGTCAACGAAGTCACAGAGATTTTAGACTCGAGATGGGGGGGAGGAGGGAGTGGAATACCTCCTCGCCAAGGAAGGTACCCCGGCTAGCGCCAACAGTTGGGTGCCAGATTATGCTCTGGAGGAATCTTGGCTTAAGGACGAGTTCCATGCCCTTTTCCCACACAGGCCCATGCCAGCCGAGTATTTCGACGACTGGCTTTTCACACCCACATTTTCAGCTAGCACATTCCAGGGGTTCACCTCGGACGAGGAACCGGCACTAGAAACACGTTCCCCGGAGGGATCACCCTCGGAGTCTGCCTCAGACCGTTCCTATTGGTGGGACAATCAACCAGAGGAGCAGTGGCGCAGGAAGTGGTTGGGGGGTCCTTGGCAGGCAACGTCCCCGGAGGAGAAAGGAGGAGAGACGGACATGGACGTGTTGGGGGAGGACCTTGGGATCGAGCACGGCGGCAAAGAGATGGAAGCAGAGGAAATTGAGGTCGGCGAGAGCACGGAGGACGAGCCGGACTTATCCGGCTGGATGCACGCCACGGGGGACGAACTGTATCCGGCACTCACCCCCACAACGACGGAGCACCCAGTACCCACACCTGAAGGAGGGGAGGGGGAAGGGGGGCTTCGAGGGAGGGATGGATGTCAGGGGTTCAGGAGCAGAGGCACAGGAAAGGGAGGAAATAGAGAGCGAGGGGGAGGAGTCCGAAGGAAATGTTAGCGATGACAGCGGTCCGAGGTCTCTGAGTCTTTCCAGCGAATCGGAAGATTCACAGAAAGGGGCTCCCTTGGTCAGAGCAAGGGGGTGCCGAGGGGGACACCCCAGGAAGAAGGGGCCAGAGGGGACTCAGAGAGCAGCAGTTGGAAATCAGGACCAGCGTCCACACCAGAGTGCAGTAGGGGGGAGGAGTCCCAGGCATCGGGATCAGGCGGCGCACTGCCAGTGGGAGGACATGAGTCAGGATTGGCCACGCCTCCATCGGGGAGCGAGGAAACGGTCGAGAGGAAGGTTGAAGGCTGGGCGCGCGCGCCAAGTTCAAATGTACAGGAGGGCGGCGCAGTTGGCAGCCCGGATAGGGAGCCAGGTCCCAAAGCCCGCCGAAAAGAGGGGGAGGAGTCAGGGGGGGTCAGCGTCAGAAGAATCCAGGAAGGAAGGGACCCCGGGGGGTAGCAGGACCCAGAGGAGAAAGGAGAGACGTAAGAGGTGGAGTAAGGCTAGAATCTTAAACTGGTGTACAGGGGGCGGAGACTCAGATGGAGCTTCGCCGATCTAACCCCTAGACGTAGAGCTGGGGCGCTCCGGCTTGAAAATGGAAACTGTACTTCAATAAAGACTTTTGTACATTACTGCCGGCTAGCGTTGGTCCTCTGTGAGCTGGGACCTGGAGCCAGCTCTGACAACGTCGTTTCTAGTCAGCCCGGCCAGTTCTCGTTTCCCAACCAAGGCTCCCACACACACCCATCGGTCCTCGGGGATCACGTGTCGGATCTCCGGCGTCCCTCTCCTTCCGTGTACTCCGGTTTCTGGGAGAGAGCGTCTGCTCTTACGTTTTCCTCTCCCGGTACGTATCGGATCTCGAAGGAAAACTTGGAGAACTCCTGTGCCCATCGAATCTGTCTCTGGTTGAGTACTCGCGCGGTCCTCCAGTATTCCAAGTTCTTGTGATCAGTACAAACCTGGATCTTGTGCTGCGCCCCTATTAACAGATGTCTCCATCGGCGAAATGCCGCATAGATCGCCAGCAGTTCGCGGTCATACACCGTATAGTTTTGCTCCGACTTGCTCAGCTTCCTCGAGAAAAAGGCACACGGCTTCCAGTCCTGCTTGCCCCCCCCCCCGGCTGCAAAAGTACCGCCCCAATGGCTCTGTCGGACGCGTCGGTCTCTAGCCTCATGGGCTTCTCCAAATTAACGTGCAGGAGCTGCTCTTCCGAGCGAACGCCTTCATCAGTCTTTCAAAGGATTGCTGGGCACTTTCTGTCCAGGCGAACTTCCTTTTGCTACTGAGACAATCTGTGATGGGCGCCGTCAAGTGGGCGAAGTTCTTGATGAACTTCCTGTAGAAGTTGCTGAACCCTAGGAACCTCTGCACATCCTTCCGGGTTTTGGGGGCCTTCCATTCCAGCACTGCCTGCACCTTGCTTGGGTCCATAGCTAGTCCCTTGTCTGACAACTTGTACCCCAGAAACTCGACCTCTCTGGTGTGAAATTGGCATTTTTCCAGCTTGACCCACAACTGGTGCTTCTGCAGCCTCTTTAGTACTTCCCTGACGTCTCTGACATGTTGCTTCTCATTGTCTGAATAGATTAAGACGTCGTCCAAGAAGGCTACGCAGTTCTTGTACAGCAGGGGCCCCAACACGTGGTGCATGAATGCTTGAAAGCAGGCGGAGCCCGATTGTAATCCAAATGGCATGACTAAGTACTCAAAAGCCCCCAGGGGGGTGAACATGGTGGTTTTCCATTCGTCCCCCTCCCTTACCCTGATCAAATTGTACGCTCCCCTGAGGTCCAGCTTGGTAAAAATTTTCCCCTGCCTCACCCGTGTTAAAATGTCGTCAATCCTGGGCATTGGGAAGGTCACGGGTTCTGATACCAGGTTTAACGCCCTATAATCTACGACTAATCTGGGCTGATTAGTCCCTTTTTTGTCCACAAAGAACACCGGACTGCCCCCCACCGCCTTTGATTCCCTTATGAACCCCCTCTTCAGGTTCTTGTCAATAAACTGCCGTAACTCCTGCATCTCCCGGTCCGACATGGCATACAGCTTACCCACAGGCAGCTGAGCCCCTGGGATTAAGTTGATTTGGCAGTCAAAGGGCCTATGGGGGTAGTCTGTCCGCCTCCTTCTCGCTGAAGACTTCCTTTAGGTCAGCGTATGGTGGTGGCACCTCTCCCTTTGTTTCCACCGCCAGCCCAGCCACCCTGGCCACTGTCATTCTTGGGGTTCCCCCCCCCCCAGACAGTGTTCCAAACAGTAAGCTGACCCAAAGGTGACTGACCGCTGATGCCATGACACTACTGGATCATGCAGTGCCAGCCAGCTCATTCCCAGTATTATTGGGGTCCTGCCAGTGTGGCCACGTGAAAGGCAATGGTCTCCGTGTGCCTGGAAACCCTCATTCGCATTGGCGGGGTCTGGTGTGTCACTTCCCCTCCCAGAAGTTCCCTGCCATCGATGGTGGTCACTTGCAAGGGAAAATCCAGGGGTAGCAAGTGTATTTGGTGCTCCAAAGCGAAGTCCCTGCTGAAGAAATTGCAGGAGCTGCCCGAATCCAGCAGCCCCTCAACCTTGACTGGGTGCCCATTCGGGAGTTCTAGCACCACTGCTATGGCTATCGCTGCCCTGGGGGTCAGGCTGGGGCACTTCTATTGGTTGCTGGCCTGGCTGCTGGCCCCTCTGGTTGGCAGCCAGGCGTTGTCGTTTCCCTGCGCCTGCCCTTCCTCCCCCTTCTCCTCACAGCCAGCAGCCCCCACCATCCCTTGCCAGGCCTTTCTTTGAGGGCAGACCCTTGCAAAATGTCCCGGCCGTTGGCAGAGGAAACACTTCTTGGTGGTTTTCCAATCCTTCCCCTCCCTCTTGCGACCTTCACTGGAGTTTGAAACCTCTCGCGCGCGCGCACCATCTATTTCCATTGGCTCAGCCGCCTGGGAAAGCTGTCTCGGTATTTCAGGAATGCGGTAGTCATGGCAACGTTCCCCTCTCACTTCGCGTTTCTCCTGAGCCCGCGCTTCCTGCCTCACTCCAATCGCAAGCACAGCCTTGGTCAGCTGATCCATCGACTGTGGGCGGGGCGCGCGGGACAGCTCGTCCTTCACCGTTGGGGACAACCCCTCCTCAAACAACATTTGAATAGGTTCAGAGTCCAGATCCCACCCGAGACGGTGGATCAACATGGCAAAGCGCGACCAGTAGTCTCTAACCGACTGGCTCCCTGCTTGCACCCCATCAGTTCTCGCCGAGTCACACTTTGCTGGACTTCACTGGAATACATCGCATCCATCGCCTGAAAGAATTTCTTAAGGTCCTTCAAGGCATGATTTTGCGTCGCCATAAGGGGCCTGATCCATTCTCTTGCCCCATCCTCCAGATGCCCCACAATGTAGGCTACCCTTTGCTCATCGTTAGCAAAGTCATCATGCTGCAGTTCCAAAGCGTACTCTATTTCCGTTCGGAACGCATTGTAGTCCTGGGGTTTCCCCCCAAACTTGTGTACCAGCCCCGGTACCTTCCTTGCGATGGGGGTGGGTCTGACCTGAGCATCCTGAGCTCGTCTTTCGTCCAGCCGCGCCGTCAGGAGAGCTACATGCTGTTCCAAGTCTCGGTTTCTCTCTACCAGACCTTGCACTGCAGCTGCTTGCTCCGTCTCTCCGGCTCCTCTGGTCTGGCTCATGGTGCTGCCTCTCTGGAGCTGCGCACAAGCAACGTCGGTGACTGACGGATTGCTGTAATGGATTTAGGGGTTGCTCGTGCGTAAGTTGCCGCCACTGCTGGCGAGGTTACCTGGTTAAACCCTTTCTGACTGAACAGCCTCCAGCATCGTGACTGTCTCAGTCGCTGGCAGAATCCGTCAGTGGGCGTTTCTTGAACCTTTTCCAGCATAAAAGTTGTTTGACGCCAAGTCTCCTCCTACTCTCCCTGCGCGGAAGTCTTCTGCGCAGGGAGGGTGTGGGCAGCGGAGTACCCGTACTCTCTCCGCTGGTCTCCGGCGAGGAGTCTTGGAGCCTCCTCTCCGATTCCCCAATCTGCCCACTTCTCCACTGGTGTTACGCTGATTTCCTTCCCCAGCAGATGGGCTGCCTCTCTCCCTACTGGGACCCTCTCCTGCATCCCTCTGGAGCCTTCCCTCCGCCTCTAGCTCCGATGGCAGTTCCCTGACATCTTTGTACGAAATGTTCCTTTCATATCTCCAATTTTCTTGAACAGATCTCTGGTTCTTCCTATTCTGTTGTTTTCCTCTATTTCTTTGCATTACTCATTCAAGAAGGCCTTCTTGTCTCTCCTTGCTATTTTTTGGAAATCTGCATTCAATTTCCTGTATCTTTCACTATCTCCCTTGCATTTTGCTTGCCTTCTCTCTCCTGCTATTTGTAAGGCCTCGTTGGACAGCCACTTTGCTTTCTTGCATTTCTTTTTCATTGGGATGCTTTTCGTTGCTGCCTCCTGTATAATGTTGCAAGCCTCCACCCATAGTTCTTCAGGCACTCTGTCCAGCAAATCTAAATCCTTAAACCTGTTCCTCACTTCCACTGTGTATTCATAAGGGATTTGGTTTAGATTGTATCTTACCGTCCAGTGGTTTTTCCTACTTTCTTCAGTTTAAGCTTGAATTTTGCTATAAGAAGCTGATGATCGGAGCACAGTCAGCTCCAGGTCTTGTTTTTGCTGACTGTATATAGCTTCTCCATCTTTGGCTGCAGAGAATATAATCAATCTGATTTCGATGCTGCCCATCTGGTGATGTCCATGTGTAGAGTCGTCTCTTGTGTTGTTGGAAAAGCGTGTTTGTGATGACCAGCTTGTTCTCTTGACAGAACTCTATTAGTCTTTGCCCTGCTTCGTTTTGATCTCCGAGGCCAAACTTGCCAGTTGTTCCTTTTATCTCTTGATTCCCTACTTTAGCATTCCAATCCCCTATAATGAGAAGAACACCCTTCTTTGGTGTCACTTCTATAAGGTCTTGTAAGTCTTCATAGAATTGGTCAATTTCAGTTTCTTCAGCACCAGTAATTGGTGCGTAAACTTGGATTACTGTGATGTTAAAAGGTCTGCCTTGGATTCATATCGAGATCATTCTATCATTTTTGAGATTGCATCCCAGTACAGCTTTCGCCATTCTTTTGTTGACTATGAGGGCCACTCCATTTCTTTTACGGGTTTCTTGCCCACAGTAGTAGATATGATAGTCATCCGAACTGAATTCGCCATTCCCGTCTGTCAGGGGTTCAGGAGCAGAGGCACAGGAAAGGGAGGAAATAGAGAGCGAGGGGGAGGAGTCCGAAGGAAATGTTAGCGATGACAGCGGTCCGAGGTCTCTGAGTCTTTCC